TTGCACAGAAAACTATATAATACATTTTGAGCAACGTGAAATTAGCAACTGATAATGTAGGAAACTGCAGATAAATGTACAGTGCATAATCAATTGCATGAATGTACCAAAGCAATCGCAACTTGTTCAAAATAATGAGAAACTGCTTTTATGATGTACAAGTGACTAGATGATGTGGAGGTTGTACAAGTAGTTTTGAGAATTTCATTTCTGATTTGAGAAATGCACCAAAGCGACTGAGAAAAACTGTATATGCCAAATATCAATTTCAAAAGAACAAATTACCACATTACTGTATGTGGGATATTCATTGAAAGAGACAGAATAGGATTCACAGTTACACTTTTACTAGCGGTCTGAGAAAAAAAAAAAATTAATAAATAAAAAACTAGTACAACATTGTTGTGATATAGAAAACTAAATATAGGCACAGATGCGAAAATACAAAATTAGAAAGGCAAACACAGGAAACACCCCTTAGACAGAACTTTGCTTTTGCATGCAGCACTGTATGAGGAATTGCAGTGCAGTCTGTCGGCCCACAGATTCTCATCTACATCACAACGAATATCTTCCCTTGCAATGCAACGTGGAATTGGAGTCAAGTGAATCATCTCACAACTTCATATATGTGCATAAGGCTGGCTTCAACCTGACCAAAAGCAGAAGGCGTGGTTGAAATGTAATTGGCCACAGAGATACTGTTGATTTACCAGGCCAACGGGAAGAAATATCCATTGTCAGAATTTGTAACTCCTGTATTGTCCTCTGTCTAAATATGCTTTCCAATTGAAGGTCCATGAGATGCACCTTTGAGCTATTTCAGAGAACTGGTTTACCATTGGTTGATCTACAGTACATTCTCTTCATTAGTGAAAGTCAAGATTCACCTGCACAAGTCATGGCAAATTTGCAAAAAGTCTAATAGAAATGTGTAGAAAATATGCTTGACAGTTTATGACAACTAGATCAACCATTTTGCATTTAATGACTTATTGACTAGTGACTAGATGTTTTGAGGAGTAAGACTATTGCAAAGATAATTTTTTTTATAAATTTTGAGCAACATGACATAGCAGCTGATAATGTAGGAAACCGCAGACAAATGTACATAATCAATTGCATGAATGTACCAAAGCAATCGCAACTTGTTCAAACGAATGAGAAACTGCTTTTTTGATGTGCACAAATGACTAGATGATGTGGAGGTTGTACTTTAAATTTTATTTCTGATCTGAGAAATGCACCAAAGCAACTGAGAAAAACTGTAATATTATCCCACCTCATTACATGTATGTATGTTGACAAGTAGTTTTAAGAATTTCATTTCTGATCTGAGAAATGCACCAAAGCCACTGAGAAAAACTGTAATAAACAAACTCCAGCTGATCCACAATGCAGCAGCTAGAGTTCTTACTAGAACCAGAACCAGAAATATGGGTACAAAGATGAAAATAAAAAAAATAAGAAAGTCCATTGTTAGAATTTGTAACTCTTGTGTTGTCCTCTGTCTATACAGTATATGCTTTCCAACTGAAGATTCATGAGATGAACCTTTGAGCTATTTCAGAGAAATGGTTTATCAATTCTCTTCATTAGTGAAAGTCAAGATTCACCTGCACAATTCATGCTAAATTTACAAAAAGTCTAATTATAATGTGTAAAAAATGTGCTTGACACTTTATGAGAACCAGTTCAACCATTTTGCATTTAATGACTTATACGATGAATTAAAGACTAGATGTTTTGAGGGGTAAGACTGTTGCACAGAAAACTATATAATACATTTTGAGCAACATGACGATAGCAACTGATCATGTAGGAAACCGCAGATAAATGTACATAATCAATTGCATGAATGTACCAAAGCAATCGCAGCTTGTTCAAAAGAATGAGAAACTGCTTTTATGATGTGTACAAATGACTAGATGATGTGGAAGTTGTACAAGTAGTTTTGAGAATTTCATTTCTGATTTGAGAAATGCACCAAAGCGACTGAGAAAAACTGTATATGCCAAATATCAATTTCAAAAGAACAAATTACCACATTACTGTATGTGGGATATTCATTGAAAGAGACAGAATAGGATTCACAGTTACACTTTTACTAGCGGTCTGAGAAAAAAAAAAAATTAATAAATAAAAAACTAGTACAACATTGTTGTGATATAGAAAACTAAATATAGGCACAGATGCGAAAATACAAAATTAGAAAGGCAAACACAGGAAACACCCCTTAGACAGAACTTTGCTTTTGCATGCAGCACTGTATGAGGAATTTCAGAGAACTGGTTTATCATTGGTTGATCCACATTCTCTTGATGAAAGTTAAGATTCCCTTGCACAATTCATATGCTTGACAGTTTATGACAACTAGATCAACCATTTTGCATTTAATGACGTATACGATGAACAAATGACTAGATGTTTTGGGGGGTAAGACTACTGCACAGGGAACTATATAATACATTTGAGCAACATGACAATAGCAACTGATAATATAGGAAACCGCAGATAAATGTACATAATCAATTGCATGAATGTACCACATCAATCACAAGTTGTTCAAAAGAATGAGAAACTGCTTTTATGATGTGCACAAGTGACCAGATGATGTGGAGGTTGAGCAAGTAGTTCTGAGAATTTCATTTCTGATCTGAGAAATGCACCAAAGCAACTGAGAAAAACTGTATTTTGGATGCGATTAATCGTTTGACAGCACTAATATAAAAAAAACAATTGAGTTGTCACTCAATATCTCCCAATAATATGTTTGAGTAAGATGATATTTAAATGGTTAGTTTTATCGTCAAAGCTCTGTAGTTTTTATTGCGTGTGCAAAACATATCATGTAAAGCAATACAATGAGGATTGAGGGATGAATAATTAAATTATTCTCAAAAGCCTGATGTATCTTATTTGATAATCACATTTTAACTTGATTTTTATAAATAATCATGCATGGATAATCAAGTAAACATAAGTTGCTTCAAGTCCAGTAAGTTTTCATCTTTCGTCTTTTACCTTCTAAAATCAGATGAAGGAAGGCATGTAGCAGATTATGTACAACAGGCTTTTCATAAAAACTTTGATCATGTTGATAATGTAGAGGTCTCAGAAATGTGCATATATACTGTAATACAGCAGTTTTTTTCTACCAGACTGATAATGTTCAGAGAAATCTTTTACTTGCTCATAATCGTAACACTCATAACATTTATTCACAGCTGTGATGATGGCCGGCCCTCTCAGAAAAAGGTGAGGGGGAAATAAAAACAAGCAGAGTTTCTGTAGTATTCTCTTCAGTGCTGAATAAGTGTCATGTGATAGTCCTTCTCCCTCATTTCAGCACAAAGTCCTGCTGCGTCAGTTCAGCACAGGGAACGACAGATTGCAGAAGAAACAGCCGATCAAAAGTACAGACGACAGTGAGTCTGCATCTGCTCTCTGTTGTGACTGACAGAACACTATTCTCTCCTGTGGCTAATTTCACAGATGGGATAGATAGAATCAGAATCAGAATCAGAATGAGCTTTATTGACAGGTATGTTTTCATATACGAGGAATTTGTTTTCATGACAGAACCTTCCGCAGTGCAACAGAATGACAGCGACAGAACAAAAACACAGATAATAAAAGAAGAAAAAAAATAGAACAAGTAAATAAGAAATAACAATATATACATTGACAATTGTATCAACACTTGATCACCTGATTGAAAAGACCGCAACTCTGTGCATTGATCAAAAAGTCGTTTCATTCGATCCTGAGCTTTACACAGAGATAATTTTGCCAACTGACAAGCCTCAAAGATTCGACGGCGAAAATCACTTAACATATGACAGGAGATTTTTTTGGTGGATCTGACTTTTCCCAGTCAACAGCCAAAACAGACAACGGGCCTCGCACATCGTGTCCAAAAACAAGATCATTCAGACTAAACCCGGTACTCTCCTGTGCAGCTTCCCGAGCTGCCATCAATAACCAAGGTAACCCAACGTCCCAATCCTTCCCCATCTCAGTACAATATGACCTCAGTAAAGACTTTAACGTTTGATGAAACCTCTCCAGTGCTCCCTGACTCGGAGCATGATAAGCACTGGAGACGTTGTGTTGGATGTGAAGTTGTTTCAACACTTGATCAAACAAATTAGAAGTAAAATTACTCCCCTGGTCAGACTGGATAATTTTTGGTATTCCAAATACAGAAATAAACTGAGTTAGTGCTTTTACAACCAACTTCGCTGTTGCTGAACGGAATGGGTATGCAGCTGGATATCTAGTTACCTGGCACATGACTGTGAGCAAATACTCATTACCTGCTTTTGACCGGGGCAACGGTCCAACACAGTCCACAATAAGATGCTCAAACGGTTGGCTAATATCTGGAATAGGATAAAGAGGAGCAGGTTTCAGAGACTGATTTGGCTTTCCCGTAAGTTGACAGGTATGACAAGATTTAATGTACTTAGACATGTCACGCGGTCTGTAACAAGTTGACGGAGAGACAGTGGTATTACGATCTGTACAACAGGATCACCAATTGCAAACTCTCCATACGGAACCCACTTTCGAACCAACAACCCTTCCTCCAGGTAATACCCAGAAGAAAGATTGTAAATTGTGTCATAAGGGACCATTCGACCAAACAACTCAACAAGAGTAGAATCAGCTTTTTGTTCCTTTATCAAATCATCTCGTGACACAGACAAAACGGACGGAATTTCTAGAGTTTTACTCGCCACTTTTTTAGAATCAGGCTTATCAACTGGTGTTTTACTCCTAGATCGAGTTATCACACACGATGGCAATGCATTTAAAGAGTTTTCATCACTGTCTGATTTAAAGGCCATCGGAGAGGATGTAACCACCAACTGTGGTAAATCACCTCGCCAAACTCGTTCACCAGCCAAGTCATTTCCTAAGATTACCTGTACTCCTTCCACAGGCAAACCGGAACGTACAGCAACTTCCACTGGATGGATTATCTCGGCAAAGGAGAAGTGCTCACTAACACAGATTTAGACAGATTTGTGAACAATATTTGAGAGAAATAGGCCTTTTGTGTACATAGAAAAAGTCTTAGATCTTTGAGTTCAGCTCATGAAAAATGGGGGCAAAAACAAAAGTGTTGTGTTTATAATTTTGTTCAATGTAGATAGATAGATAGATAGATAGATAGATAGATAGATAGATAGATAGGCTACTATCTTGGTCGCTCTGGTTAAAAGCATCTGCCAAATGCATAAATGTTCATGTAAAATGAATGGCAACAGAACAAAGTGTCTTTCTGTACATTATTCCTTACAGTTTATCATTATATATTATAATCATTATATTATTATATTTAATGAGTGGTTATGGAACTTTACTTGAATACAAAGGGGATTTTATTTATTTACTTTTTTTGTAAATAAAACATTGTAAGGGTTTAGCTGTAACCTTTGTCCCAGGGCAACATGGCAAGAAAATGTCATTTTTATTTATTTTGAGTGGGATCAACAATTAGAGAGAGATCCGTAATAGAACAGAAGAGTCAAAAGTGAAATAATCAACCAAAAATAGACGGGAAGAGTCACAAAAAGAAGGTTCAAAAGAGGTTAAGACTTTAGGACAAAGAATAGATGTGAATCAATGACATGTGTATCTTTAATTGAAGGTAATAATGTTTTGTGATTAAAAACAATTGATTATCAATGTTTAATGTTAATGTTCTTTTCAAATGTGTGTGTGTTGTGTTGAAGTCCTCTTTAAGGTGTACTGCAGTGATCATACGTACTCCACTATCCGAGTGCCTGTCGCTGCGTCTGTCAGAGAGGTCATCTGCGCCGTTACCGATAAGCTGGGGTCAGGAGATGATCTTCTGCTCATCCACCTCAACTCAGCCGGAGGTGAACACACACACACACACACAGACACAGACACAGACACACACACACAGACACAGACACAGACACACAGACACAGACACGCACACACAGACACAGACACAGACACACAGACACAGACACGCACACACAGACACAGACACAGACACACAGACACAGACACGCACACACAGACACAGACACAGACACACAGACACAGACACGCACACACAGACACAGACACAGACACACAGACACAGACACGCACACACAGACACAGACACAGACACACAGACACAGACACGCACACACAGACACAGACACAGACACACAGACACAGACACGCACACACAGACACAGACACAGACACACAGACACAGACACGCACACACAGACACAGACACAGACACACAGACACAGACACGCACACACAGACACAGACACAGACACACAGACACAGACACGCACACACAGACACAGACACAGACACACAGACACAGACACGCACACACAGACACAGACACAGACACACAGACACAGACACGCACACACAGACACAGACACAGACACACACACACACACACAGACACAGACACAGACACACAGACACAGACACGCACACACACAAACAATGTGACCCAGTGCTTTAGATACAGTGAAGCATTCACAATAGCACAAACAAGATTTTCAAGCAAAACATTTGACAAAAATAAGTTTAAGTTCTGAAATGCTACATAAATAGTTACCCTTGTGAAAAGGAAGAACACTTTAGCATATACTTTTAAAAAAGAGTACTTATTAAGCAAAAATTACTTAATTATGAAAAATTACTTAAGTGCGAAGGGAATGTAATTTTTTGGGGCACTTAATTGCATGCTAATTGTAATTAAATGAAAATGTATTGTAGTTTAAAATTATATTAAATGCATTTTGCTAAACTTTACATTTTCGAACCAATTTAAGTGAGACTTTATTACATTTTTATATGCATTTTTATATGCAATTCTGTTGTCTAGTTTAAGTATACTAAAATTGTAAAAATGCTAAAACACTAAAACCAAAATGTATTTTAATGGAATTTCTACTGAAACGTACATGTCATGTATTTCAAATATATTTGTAATTACACATTTGTAATGATGAAGTTGTGATTTGGTACATTAAAATTTAAATAAATACTAAACTACACTTAACTGCATGTAAATGTCCTTTTATTTCATTACATTTATATTATCTGCAAGTACGGATTTTAAAAATATACTTTTAAGATCTGAAGTGCACATTAAATACAATTAAGTGCAATCCTTTTTTAAAAGGGTTTGCTGTTTAAAAAGAAGGTAAAACTGTGACACTTTGTGGGATTTTCAGCAACACCATTCAATAAAAGCTGATGTAAGAGGCTATTGGTTGGATATCTAAGTTTTGGTTCTTTCGTAAACTGCACACATTAGGTCTCATAAACCAATAGTACATGCTATACTAGATTTGTGAATTTTCGGAAGAATATGTAAGTGGAGCTTGTGCAAAACTCGCTAACAAGATATTTCTAAATGAATAGTTCACCCAAATAATTTTTTTGGGAAAATGTATTCATCCTTACAGCATCCAAGATGTAGATGAGTTTGTTTCTTCATCAGATTTGGAGAAATGCAGCATTGCATCACTTGCTCAGCAATGGATGCTCTGCAGTGAATGGGTGCCGTCAGAATGAGAGTCCAAACAGCTGATAAAAACATCACAATAATCCACAAGTAATCCACACCACTCCAGCCCATCAGTTAATGTCTTGTAAAACAAAAAGCTGCTTGTTTGTAAGAAACAAATCCATCACCAAGACGTTTTAACTTTAAACTGTCACTTCTGTCCAAAATACCCATCCATAATCTATATTAACACTTCTTCCAGTGAAAATGTCCACCCCCTGTTTCCCCTCACATCAAAATCAACAGACTTATTTGTTTTGGACTGTTTGCTTTGTAAACTGTGCTTGATCTGTGCATATTTCTCTCCTGATACAGATGAGACAACTTTTTCACTGGAGAAAGCAATATTATAAATAGAGGATTCGTATTTTAAAGTATTAGTTTGAATAACAAATTTGTTTCTTACAAACAAGCAGCTTTTCGTTTTACAAGATGTTAACTGATGGCCTGGAGTGGTGTGGATTATTGTGATGTTTTTATCAGCTGTTTGGACTCTCATTCTGACGGCACCCATTCACTGCAGAGCATCCACTGGTGAACAAATGATGCAATGCTACATTTCTCCAAATCTGATGAAGAAGCAAACTCATCTGCATCTTAGATGGCTTAAATTTTCAGCAAATTTTCATTTTTGGGTGAAATATTCCTTTTAACTTGTTGTTTGCTTTTTGACATGTAAATATTGCAAAAATACTTAGCGTAGTTATTTTTAATAAGTAACTTCATGGTTTAGTCATTTGAGAAGCAGCTGATTACTGACAACTTTAAAAGCAGAATGACTGATGGCTGTGTTTGTGTTTCTCAGATAAAGAGCTTCTAAAGCCAGCAGATGTGTCCATCTTCTCATCACTGAGCATTAATGGTCGTCTGTTTGTCTGCCCGAGGGACCAGATCGACTCTTTGGTGTGTAAGAGCCCCCGGAGACTGCATTTATAACACACATCGACTGTAAACATGCAGGATCAAATGTACATTAGCTTACTGACTGGCTGATTAACTGATGAATCGATCGACTCGTTCATGCAGACTCCGCTGCCGGAGCAGGAAGGGCCGTCTGCAGGCTCCATGTCCACGTTTGAGCTCATGAGCTCGAAAGATCTGGCTCATCAGATGACTCTCTACGACTGGGAGCTCTTCGACTGTGTACACGAGGTACAAACACTTTGGTTTTAAAATTACTCTCACTTAAAGGGCTAGTTCACCCAAAAATGAAAATCCTGTCATTGTTTATGCACCCTCATGTAATTTCAAACTCACTTTAGCTAATCTTCAAAACACAAATGAAGATATTTTGAATGAAACCTGAAAAGATTCTGTCCCTCTATTAAATGTCCATGCAACCAAAATGTTGAAATTTCAAAAAGGTCATGAAAACATGTAAAAGTAATCCAAATGAATAAAGCAGTTTAATCCAAGTCTGAAAAGACATAATATCTTTATATGATGAACAAATTTAATTTTAAATTGTCATTGTTTTACATATAAACATTGATCAATGCACACACAGTTGTGCTCATAAGTTTACACACCCCTTGCAGAATATGCAAATATGTTAATAATTTTAACTAAATAAGAGAGCTCATGAAAATTGCATGTTATTTTTTATTTAGTACTGTGCTGAATAAGCTATTTCACATAACAGATGTTTATATATACTCCACAAGAAAATATAATAACTGAATTTATAAAAATTACTCCATTCAAAAGTTTACATACCCTTGAATCTTAATACTGTGTGTCATTTCCTGGATGATCCACGACTGTTTTTCTGTTTTGTGATAGTTGTTCATGAGTCCTGCGTTGGTCCTGAGAGTTCAACTGCCTGCTGTTCTTCAGAAAAATCCCCCAGCTCCTGCACATTCTTCGGTTTTGCAGCATCTTCTGCATATTTGAACCCTTTCCAAAAGTGACTGTATGATTTTGAGATCCATCTTTTCACACTGAGGACAACTGAGGGACTCATATGCAACTATTACAGAAGGTTCAAACGCTCACTGATGCTCCAGAAGGAAAAACCATGCATTAAGATCCGGGGGTGAAAACTTTTTGAATTTGAAGATCAGGGTAAATTTTACTTGTTTTGTCTTCTGAGAAACATGTAACTATCTTCTGTAGCCTCTGAAGGGCAGTACTAAATGAAAAAAATATTATATTTAGGCAAAATAAAAAAAATGTACTCATCTCCATTCTGTTCAAAAGTGTTCACCCCCGGCTCTTAATGCATGGTTTTTCCTTCTGGAGCATCAGGGAGCGTTTGAACCTTCTGTAATAGCTGCATATGAGTCCCTCAGTTGTCCTCAGTGTGAAAAGATGCATCTCAGAATCATACAGTCATTGCTGGAAAGGGTTCAAATACACTTACAAATACATTATTTTCTCTTGTGGACTATATGTAAATGTCATTTATGTGAAATATCGTATTCAGGTCAGTACTAAATAAACAATAACATGCATTTTGCATGATCCCTCTTATTTTGGTAAAATAATTAACATATGAGCTCTCTTATTTTGTTAAAATTATTAACATATTTGCATATTCTGCAAGGGGTATGTAAACTTATGAGCACAACAGCATATACCCTTGTGAAAAATAAATGTGCCTTATTTTATTGAATGTGCACTTGTAGTGTGCTTAAAATATCCAAATCAAATCTCTAAAAACTGTACTTGCAGATCATATAATATTAATAAAATAAAAGTGTTCTTTCAAGAGAGTACACTTCCAAGATTGTTTCTTAACGCACTTACAGTAAGTACAATTTGTATTAAAATATAAAAAGTGCACTTTGTAATAATCTCAAAATTAAACGTTTTGCCTTTAAACACATTTTAAATCATTATGCTTTTAATTTGAACTGTAGTGTGTTATTCAGTATTACATTTAAAGTAATTAATGTACTAAATTGCAACTTCATCATTACAAATGTGTAATTACAAATATATTTAAATATACATGACATACAAGTTTCGATAAAAGTGACAATATAGTATATTTTAGTTTACCATAAATGTTTGGCAGAGCATTCTGCAGTACTTTAACCATATTTCATATAAGATATTAGAAGTGATTTTGAAATGACATTAAAAAAAGTCCTACTTAAAGGGATAGTTCACCCAAAAATGAAAATGTGATGTTTATCTGCTTACCCCCAGGGCATCCAAGATGTAGGTGACTTTGTTTCTTCAGTAGAACACAAATTAAGATTTTTAACTCCAGCCGTGGCAGTCTGTCAGTCTTATAATGCATGGCAATGGTAACAAAATCTATGAGAGTAAAAAAAACATGCACAGACAAATCCAAATTAAACCCTGCGGCTCGTGACGACACATTGATGTCCTAAGACACAAAACGATCGGTTTGTGCCAGAAACCGAACAGTATTTATATCATATTTTACCTCTAATACACCACTATTTCCAACTGTCTTTGAGCGCACTTACGGCATCCGTAAGTGACCACCCACAGCTGAACCTCATTAAAGCTTAATGAGCTTTACGTGAGGTGTGTACGCGCTCTGGCGTAGTTTACATTTGTGTTCTACTGAAGAAACAAAGTCACCTACATCGTGGATGTCCTGGGGGTAAGCAGATAAACATCACATTTTCATTTTTGGGTGAACTATCCCTTTAAATGGGTCAAAATTTCGGCTGATTGCATTTAATATAAACTAAACTATAATATGATTTCATTTCATTGCAATATATTTTCTATACATATAGTGCATTTTCATTTAATTGCTGTTTCACTCAGTTTTAATTGTCTGAAAATATTCAATTCAAATCGCACTTAAATATATTCTTTTTGCAAAAAGTGCTCTTTTAAAAGTATGCTACAGTCTTCTTTTTCTCAAGAGTTCTAAAAGAATCTTTATTATTATGTGTCTACATTTATATTGCATTGTATTAATCACCATTTCCAGTGGAGTTCTAGTAATTGTCTGTGTATTTGTGTTTTAGCATGAGCTGATCTACCACACGTTTGGCCGTCAGCACTTCAAGAAGACCACGGCTAATCTGGATCTGTTCCTGCGGTGCTTTAATGAGGTTCAGCTGTGGGTGGTCACAGAGGTTTGTTTGTGTCCCACGCTCAGCAAACGTGTCCAACTGCTCAAGAAGTTTATCAAGATCGCAGCGCAGTGAGTCTTCACTCATAAACATGTGACGTGTGTGTGTGTGTGTGTGTGTGTGTGTGTGTGTGTGTGTGTGTGTGATGAGTCATTTTGTTCAGAGGAGCGTTAATAATATATATGTACACATCTTGTCCCTTGTGAAAAAAATGTACACTTTAGCATACTTGTGCTTATTATAGAAATAATACTCTAAGTGATGTTTTATTAACAAGTTTCGGGAGGAGCACGCGCAGATAAGCAGGCCTTCAACGAGCCTGGGCCGCGCCCCAGATCTCACCGCAGCAAAGCCTCACTCGCCTCCCGCTGCGGCTCAGCTTTTCACCGCGGCTCTTCCGGCCGCAGCGCCGTACGCAGCCGGGCCTCCAGCTCTCGTAGTCTCGTAGACTTAGAGGCTGCCTCCGCTAGCGGCACAGGCCGCGTTGCAAATTAATAAAATTTCAGGTGAAGTAGCTAAAAGCAGGTTTTCTTGGTTAAAGTTTGTTAAACGACGTTATGACATAAAAGGATGTTGATGCCATTTTTTTTAAAGCAATTTAAAAAATAAATAAATATAAATAAATAAATAAAAAAGCCTTTTTCCCCCAAAGTTTATCATCCACACTGAAATGTCTGAAAGTGTTACATTAGCCTTACTGTGAATGTATAAAACCTCACCGAGATGATACAGACGGAACAGACATAAGTTTCACGGAGTTCTTCTGACAGGATCAATTCCTTTATAGAAATATTTCACCATCCACTGACGCGCCCACGGCGCGCTCACTCAGAATTGATCTAAAACACAACTGCCCTCGTGTTTTGCCGCAGGACAGCAATCGTGAGTAAATTTTCTGTTGTCTTTTAGGACTGTAATATGAAGAGCATGCAAAGTAAATATCTTTAGCAACAGTGTGAAAGTGAATAGCACATAACTGCAAAATTAACGTTACTGGTATAAACATGTTTATTGGTACAATGCGTTACACGACTAAACATGCTTCATCGTTTTCAAAAGCTTCCGTTTCTGCAACGTGAAAACAGCATTTTCAAATT